CAGCAAGGCTGGCTGGGGAATTCTGGGAGTTGAAGTCCACGCATCTTCAAGCTGCCAAGGTTGAGAAACACTGCTCTGGAGGGACACCAAGCCATTTCCTTCTGAAACCAAGGGGCATTTAAAATGCACCTTCTTTGGGCTTCTACCTGCCCTGCATGTGGCCCTAAAGATCCTTGGATCCAGACCATTGTTTTTTCACAATGCCCTTCCCTACCGTCAGGTGCCAGAGTTGGGGAGGGCTCAATGCCTCCTGCAGAAGGGAAGACCTGGGCCATCCATGTCTCAAGCTGCATTGGCTCCTGGGTGGGGGGAGCACTAGAACACCTGCCACCCCTCTTTCAAGCCCAGAATTGACCAGCTGTGCCGAATGTTGTAAAACAGACCTCAACTCAATGGCTTCTAGATGTAGTGAATCGCATCTCCCTGTTCCCAGTCTGGCCACAACTGCGACTACACACACACAGAGGTTATGCCCATCAGACTGTGGGCCATAAATAAAAAAGAGGGGTGCATTTCATTTTTTAAAGGGTAACCCAGGCTAAGGAAACCAGTCCTGGGTAACCAACACCTGCCCCTCGACCTTCTGAGCCAGCTTGGAGAAAGTAGGCTTTGAGCGGGACATCTGCAAGGCAGACCAGGAGGCAAAGGATACCGTGACACAATGTGCATTGTGATCTTGCGGCACAAGGACGAATGGACGGAAGTTGTGTTGTGATGTTGCCCTGCCCGTTTTATCATTTGGGTGTCGCTGTGGTTATGAACGCACCTGGGTGGGTACAGCAAGGGCCATTAAAGGACATCCCCCCCCCAGGTCGAGAAGGTTTCATGCTTCCAAAGAACACCAACCCAGAGGTCTTGCACACGACAGTGCAACGACTACTGTGTATGATGACTTTGTTAACAGAGGTGATAATAACAATGATTGTGCTAATCCGAGCAGCAAAAACGAGGTTAATATCCGTAACTCCTCAACCTATTTATACCGCATTGAAGCCTGTCCACAATACTTGGTGCTCCCGTTATCAGGCGGGGATGCTTAGCTTCACGCTTGCTGTCGGTCCCCGCGTTGACAAGGGGGCACTTCCATGCCCTGTAAGACTCAACCCGCAGCTCACAGACGGATGATTCCGACTTTACCGCTTGCAGGTGTACAATGACATTGGCCTTCACATCGTTCTGACCGGGATAGAGGTGTGGACCAAGCAGAATTATCGGCCCATCAGCAACGCATTCAACGACACTTTCAAAGATTTTTACAGCTATGCCAATTCTGAACTTCGGCACCTGACGCATTTTGACCACGCCACCCTATTCACGTGAGAATTCACGGTTCGCTCCGGAAGCCCTCGCCTTCCTCTGCCGCTCTCGCTCACCCATCGCCTCGTCCCTGAAGCAGCAGTGCTGGGGCCCTGCTCTTCCTCTGATGACCCCCTCTCCCCTTTGACCCGCCCGTAATCTTTCTCCAGTAGCGCATGACCTCTGGGCTGAACTCTGTGCTCCTTTTTTGAGCACCCGTCTCTGGAGGCTTTAACATTTCTTGGGTTGTGTTTGAACTTAGAGGATTTTCCTTTCTGCAAGGGGGGAGAAGGCGCCGGTGGTTTTGCACGCCACATCATTTCAATGGTTTGCTCCCTCTGTCCCTGCGCGCGCACACACACACAGCCTCACGGAATCACAGGAGGGTGGAGTTGAAGGGCACCACAAGGGCCATCTAGTGCCACCCTCTGCCAGGTGTAGGAAGACCAGTTAAGGAGCTCCTGCGCAGCCTCTTCTTCCGGAGAACTTCCTGCTCCCAAAATACCGCCCGAAAGGAGTCCCTTCTCCCAAGGAGACGGACAGGGAAAACGGGAAGGCGGGAACTGGAGGTTGTGCAGCAAAAGGCAGGGCTCCAAAATAAATCTCCCGGCCACTTTGCAGCGAATGTACTGCAACCGCGCCATTCACCATCCAGGAGCAGTTATTATAAGGCACAACAGTCCTGTGAGGTAGACAGAGCAAATGACTGGCCTCAAAGGGAGGTTCCCTGGCTGAGGGTAGACTTGAACCTCTTCACTCCACCAGCTCTTGACTTCTTCTGGCTGAACCCCCGGCTTTGTTTGGCTGCCCCACAGCCCAGTGACCGAGTGGAGCTGAACCCCAGATCGGGCTGGGTCTCTTCTGGATTCAGCTGGGGCCCCTTGGGGCCAATCCACCCCTTTCGGGGTGCTCGGCTGCAGCCGAGCCCAGAGCCGAGGAAGCGGTGGGGTGGGGTGGGGGCGGCATCGTCCTGGCGGGGGCTGCCAGGGGGGAAGCGAGCTAGGCTGAAGGGGGATGTTTCCTCTCTCGCAGGAATGTGGGCCAGGAGGATTCCTTTGAAAAGGCTTGGAAACTGCCCGTGTGTCTTTACAACCAGGTCTCCGTTTCTGTGGTCAAGGTAAGGAACGGGGCGCCCGGGGTGGAGGGCGCAGATCGTGCCAGGCAGCAGCCCCAAAACTGGCACGTTGCTACAGACCAGTGTGTCTCAACCTTGGCAGCTTTAAGAGGTGTGCACTTCAACTCCCAGAATTCCCCGGCCAGCCATGCTGGCCAGGGAATTCTGGGAGTTGAAGTCCACCCATTTTAAAGCCGCCAAGATTGAAAGGCACTGCTTTAGAAGAGAAAACTCCTGTGTGCGCCACGCTGGCAGAGGAGCGGGGGAACCTTTGGAGGCATCTGGCAGGCTATGTGGAGACCCCCTCTGGGTACTTTGCTGGGATGGCCATGGAGGCGTGAGATCCTGGTTCGTTTCGGCACGATCCCTCTGTGTGTGTATATACCCAGTTTTCACTGCTGCTAAACATTTTAAGAACAGCCCAGCTTGTAAAAAACTGGTTGCTCCCAGTCCTTCTCCATTATCCAAAGGTCCCCTGAGCTTGACTTCCTTCCCCAAGTCCCCCCTTGCACGCTGCAACACGTCTATCCTAAAACTACCTCGGTTTGCTTAATTGCCTCCTCTGCCCCTTTCCCTGTCCCGCCGCGCCCAGATTTCTCCATATGCCACCAAGGACGGTGTCTCCGCCGCGCACCAGCTGGGCCATTCCCTCGGCTTCGCCCACGATGACCTCCCGAGAGGAGACGGCCGGTTGTGCGAATGCAACTCGGCCTCCCAGGCTGGCCACTGCCTCATGCACTCGACCATGGCGTGAGTAACCCTGAAGCCCGTAAAATCTTTTTGCTTCAATGCTGGGCAGAAGAGGCAAACGCGCCTCCGGGTTTTGCTTTCGGCTCCAGTCCAGCTGAGCCATGAACTCATTAACTTGGAGGTCAGATCCGTCGATTTCGGTTCTTAATCGATGCATTTAGGCTATGCCTTTTCTTGCCCCTTCTTAACCATGGTTGCAAGGTTGCTCGGGCAAGGTTGCTCAGGCAAGAATGCAGTTAACATCTGTTCAGCACAGAACAGTGTTTCTCAACCCTGGCAACCTTTTTCTTTTTGGGGTTTTAACTTCCAAAAAATCCCCCACAGCCCAAAGGGTGGGGGGGGAGGAGCACCACTATAA